GCAAGACACTGTCTCAAAAACCCCTCAAAAGTAAAAATAAACAAATAAATAAAAATAAACATACTAGTTGAGGGAAGAAATTCTCATAGGGAGCTAGGAAAGTCTCCACTTTCAGAATAATTCATGAACAGTATCCAGCTAATATGTGAAGAGGGGTGCAAAACGGTGTTTGGAAGCATGGAAGTAAACAGAACAACAGAAACAGAGGCTCTGGGGAGTGGGCTGTAAATTGCTTATTTGTTTATTTATTTGCATTACTGAGGATGGAACCCAGACCCTTCATTCACACTGAGCTTCATCCTCAGCTCTTTTGTTTGTTTTTTTTTTGAGATAGGGTCTTGCTAAGTCCCTAAGTTGCCCAGGCTGGGCTTGAACTTGTGATCCTCCTGTCTCAGCCTCCCAGAGTGTTGGGATAACAGGCCCTGCCACCACGCTCAGCCCAGCTCCGTTCTTGGAAGTACTGGGGCACATCAGGGACAGCAGACAGCCTCCCCAGGCACCTGAAGCAGGTAGCCTGGAGAGACCCAGGGAGTAGAGCGGCCCGGCAGCCCACAGGTGGTGTCGCCAAGCAAGAGGTGATGTTTTCCTAGAAAGCGCCAGCGTGCGCCCCTGATTCCCGGCGTCCCCAGGGAGGAGAAGAAAAGCTAAATTTAAAAGCACGCTAATTGGGGCAGTGTGATCTAGCAGCCTTAGGGCTGAGGACAGAATGGGCAGGGACGGCTCAGCCCCGCCCCCGCCCCGCCCCCCGGCCGCAGGCCCCCCCTAGCCGCCACCTCCCGCGCACGCGCCCTAGGCTTGCCGCTTCCTGAGACTCCTTGCCGGGACCAGCCCCTCCCTGGATCCCAAGGTGTGAGCCTGGGTTTTTCTGTCTGCAAAATGGGAACAATGGCCGGCCGTGGTGGCTCACAGCTGTAATCTCCGCACTCCGGAGGCTGAGGCAGGAGGATACTCCAAGTTCGAGGCCAGCCTGGGCTACACAGCAAGACCCTATGTCTCAAAAAACCAAAGGAAAAAAAGGTACAACAATGACCCATCTCTGAGATGACAGATGCTGCTCTTGAACTCCCTTCAATATTTACTGGCTTTAAAAAATCTATTTTGCAACTGTAGTGGCGTATACTTGTCATTCCAGCACTCCTCTGGGAAGCTGAGGCAGGAGGCTTTCAGTTCAAGCCCAGCCTGGGGCAGTTCGAGCCCTT